GGACGACCCCTCCCCCTCCCATTGGGATAATGAAAAGGACGAACCCCCCCCTTCACGTGGGGATGATAAAAAGGACGACCCCCCCCCCTCGCGCGGGGAGGCCCTGCGTGGGTTCGGCCCCGCCAGGCCCTCCTCCCCCCGCCGGAGCGCCCTCCACACCTCCCGCCCCCCTCCCTTCGCGGGGGATTCCAGCCCACGCCGCACCTCGGCCCTCGCGAACCACCCCAGGCCCCTCCGCCGGCGTTCGAAGTCCCCCCGCAGGCCCCTCCACGGGGGGAAATCCCACGAAACGCGGCCCTCGCCCTCGCCCGCGGGGCCGTCGAGGTCGGGGGGGCGGAGGCCCCCCAGCGGCCCCTCCTCGCGGTTCACCAAATCCACCACCTTCTCGGCCCCCCAACGCGTCGCCCGGCAAAGCGCGTAGGTCAGGGCGAAGGCGGGGATCGAAGAATCGCTCGGGGAATCCGGGGCCCCCCCGAAACATTCTTCCGCGGTTTGGAAGGGCCCCTCGCGGGGGATCGCGCGGAGCTGCCGCTCGCAGAGGGCCGCCAGGATGGCGATCCGCGCGCGGGTGGCGGCCGACGGGGCGATCGGCCAATCAAAGCCCCCCCCCGCCCTCGGGAGGACAACCTCCACCAGCGCGGCGGAGAGCAGCACCACCTGCGAGGAGGCCCAAATCCCGCGCGGCGTGGCCCAATCCGTCTTGAGCGGATCGGCAATTATCACCGAAAGGGGCCCCGGTGGGAGGTCCTCCCTGTCCTCCGCGAAGGCCCAGCGGCAGGCCGCCAGCTCCCTGCAAAGCCAGCGGCCCAAAAAGCCCAACCCGTCCACAAAATTGCAGCCAAAAAAGTAAAATTTAAAGTGAGAGAGGGCGAGAGGAGTCGTAGGTGCAGGATCCATAACGGCTTCGATGTAGCCGGGATGCATCGTCACCTGCCATGGAGGATTCGACGTGGATCGCGGCCTCGATTCAAAGGCCCTCGAGAAGGAATGCCCGCCATCAAGAATAAAGGGGCAGTCGGCTTCGTCTTCTTTCGAATACGGGTCCACCATGTTGGCCGACCGTCGTGGTGGATCCATCAGAATAACCGCGCACAACTCCGAAACCAAACACGACGACGCATTCAGCGTTAAAATAGACGCGGAATTCTTTCCCCGACCTCCTTTTTCTTCTGGTCTGTTCGCCACTGTACCCAAACCCCTGTTATCGCGGTAGGAAAGAGGCCACATCACTTTCGCCTCCTCCGGCGGGAGGACAATAACGGAAAGGGAAGATTCCCTTTTCTTTTCCTCTTCCGCCTTTTCATCCCTTCCAACAACTGCCCCTTCCTCAACTACACACGCCTGAGGACAAACAAGAGGGCAAAACCGAACACCGCGCCGTAAATCACCAAGAAGGAAATTAAACAACGCCCCCTCCTCCGCTTTACCATCATTATGGGTCTTAGTATCCTCACGGATGCGAGCTTTAAATTTCAATAACCACCCCTGGAGCGTCCGGGAGTCCCCGTCAGTTATTGGGTTGGGGTGATTATTCGCCAAACAAGGCGAGGGGATCGGCTTTCCCCCCGTCTGACATCTCCTACGCGGCGGGAGCCGCAGAAGAACCCCTTTCATCGCCTCCGCCTGAATAAACTCCGCGGCGCGGTTTGATGAACAGAGCCCGGCATCTTTCTTTTCTCTTTTTTCCTTCTCGTTTGGGGGCTTGAAGTTCTTATGGATTTGTTTTAGGGGAATGACTTTTCGACTTTTCGACTCGTCGTCCACGTTCTTTAGCGTGGGTGTCGTGAGGCGTAGGACGCGCCTGCCAGAAGGGGATGTTGGGGAAGTGATGCCGCTTGCGGGAGGGGGGGGGAAGGAAATTGAATGAGGAATAGGCAAAGAAAGAGAAGAAATAGAATGCGAAATTTTAGGAGGTGGAAAAGCAGGAAAAAGAGGAAGGGAGGAGGATATTGCCTCTGGATTGCCGTCATTGAGCACGCTCGACGGCGGGGTTTCCTCAAGGTGAAGAACAAAAGCGTCGTCGTCGTCGTTTGGAGTCTCCCTCACGTCGTTTTGAAAGCCTTCAGGCTCTAGTTTAGATTCAACCAAAGTAATACCATTGATGGGATCATGTTTATTAATTTTTTTTATACGTGGAGTCGAAGAAATGCGTTCCGGTGTGGTGAAACGCACACAATCCCGTTCGAGATCTAAATAATGAATAGGACAATCCTCAAAGATCGGTTCCGTTGTGGATGAAAAACCAGACTGCTTATTACACGCCTCCTTAACGGGGCCAGAATTCCCACTATTTGGAGCATTCACCGGCTGAGATGAAGAGTCCGGCAAATCCTCTTTTTGGGCAAAAAAGTCCGGAAAGTGGTATGGCGACGATGACCAAACCAACTGAAGTGAAGTAATCACATGCTGACGAGCGATTAGCACGAGAAACTGCGTGGCTTGATCTATTGTGCGTTTTTCATTGGAAAGACAGGACGATGAGGTCAAGGAAACCTCCTCAATGGGGATGAAAAGAACTCCAGAGGTGCTTCGGAAGTTCACACCTTCCACCTCTACCGATAAGCATGCCTGAGGAATCAGCGGCATTGCTCTAGAATGTTTCAAGGCAAGAACAAAAATTGATCAAAATAATGGCATGATAGTTGATGATTGAACATTAGCAGAAGAAAAGGGTGAAAGAAGAAAAAATGAATGCGTCACGTCAATTTTCCCTTCAGCCCCGAATTCCATAGTATTGTTGGGAAAAAGAGAATAGATACAGCTCAAATGCAAATAGTATTATCATCTTACGGATGCTTAATCGACTTAGCTTCATCTTTACTCGTATTATCTCTTTTTCTTCTCATCTATTGGATACGCGGAAAGATTAATTTTTTAAAAATTGGAAAGATGCAAACGAGATTGCTGCATCCATTGAATTACTAATAGAATTCGCTCTCACCCCCCCCCCCTCTCCAGTAGGAATATAGAAGTAGGAAAAATGCAAAGATTTATTCGTTTATAAGATTATTATGAGTTAGGAGATCCCTTGCTTCAACGCCTTGAAAGAGATGCGAATGCGCTTCATAAACTCCAGAAATTTTTGCGCGCTTTTAGCTGATTCCAACTTTTGTGCTTCCTCTTCTAGTTTATAGTGGCCCTTTCGATCGTCATTTGCCGATTCTGAAATCGCATGCACGTCTAGCGAAGTTCCGGCAGCTACGACATCAAAAAATGCTGGCAGCCACTTATTTGCCATGGCCTCATCAACGAAATACCGCTCAATAAATTTCTTTAAAGACCCTCGAAAATTAGTCGTATCGGTGTTTAAATCGTGAACATGAATCCCATCGCCACCGAAAAACAACTCTGTTAGCCTGTTTGGTGGCAACTGCACTAACATACGGAGGATAAGCACACGCGTGAAAAGGCCGATCGTTTTATTCGTATTCTCAATATCAAGCCCTCGCAGCACGCTTAACGTGAATATCCCGTGCTCCAAAAGGGACGTTATCAAACAGGCAAGATTTAGATATGTCACCACGTTCACAGGCTCGATACGTATGCCCTTAAATCGATCCCACAGCACGAACTGCAATTTTCGCTGACATGAAGTCTTTGAATTGCAAAAACGCTCAAGTATACTTGCATAATAAGGATTATAACGCGTTTCCTGACAACAACACTGAATAAGAGTAGCACAAACGTCGTGAAAGCGGCTGTAGCTCGGATCGCGGTGTATAAGAAGACTAAAACACTCCAAATCATCAGCGGCGGCGACAACAGCTTTGAAGATTTCTCGTTTATGCTCCGTATTAAAGCGCTGCCCCGCAATTGCCTTTTCCTCCTGTCGTAGTTTTCGAATGGTGGCCTGCTTCTGCGCAAACTCATCATCACCTGACGATGCCGCGGAGGAGATGGAGGAGGATGCGCTGCTTAACGAATTCTCCCGCGAATTTTCCTCCTCTTCCTTGCTATTACAATTGGTCCTGGATTTGGCCTTCCTTTCTGGATTACAGGTGCTTTTCTCTGCAGAAGACTGAAACGCCACAGCGGCGGCGTACCACCTCGGTGGCTTATCGGACTGTAGCACTAACTCCCAGCTCACGCCAGTTAACGTACATGAAGTTTGAATAATTCGCCGTTGCGTTCTTTTTGTCAAGGACCCGCTACTACCACTACCTTTATTCTTCGAAGAAGCCTCCCCAAGGATCGCGCAGAGGTCGTCGAGCATCGCCTCAACCGGGGCTTCGGCCTCAGTGAGCGCCCGGCGGCCTTTTTGCAGCTTTCCCGACACGATATCCCCCATCACATCGACAAGAACAGTAAAACGAACCAAACTAAACGGAGTTTTCTCATTATTGAGTTCCTCAATGCTGCGTTTGGCCTCCCGAAGGGCGAGATCAATCTCCTGTGGGACCTCCTTCAGAAGCTTCCCACCGCAAATTCGAAGCACAGCCAGCCCGCACGATGCTACCCCCAGCGCTCTCCGAACGACCAAATCCGCCGCGCTCGTGATGCTCGAGAGATGTTCTTTCAGACGTGCGATTTGGCGAAATAATGCAGTGAGCAAAGAAACCATCAACCGCGCATCCACACCGTACAGAAGATAGAGATAAGCCAACACCATCGCAAGATTACTTGCGGCATGTTCAGTAGCCTCGTCGAGGTGTGTTTGGAGGAAAAAGCATAATCGCTCGATCAGCTCCGCACCGACATGGGAGCCGTGGAAAAGCTGAAGACCACGCAAAAGACCCGCTAAAGGAAGTGCCCCCGTTTGCGTGAGAAGCCCCGTATCCATCAGGCAAAGATGATTGATTTGCTCGAGTAACCCCCCCAGAACGGCCGCTCGGGAAGCCCCGACGATTGTGGAAGTGGTAAACAAATCGGAGATTTCTCTTGCAAGAGCCACAACGTTCCCCATCGTGATTTTGTTGATACAACGACGCGTACGCTGGAGGACCTCCGGCGGCACATTTGACGCCTCCGCACGAAACCCCAAAGGACGCCCAGAAGAAAGTGAATCAGTGTTATTCGTGCTGGACTTATTAGCTTTAACAGCATTAGCACTGGTATGAATGGTATTCTTATGAGAACGACAAGTAGATCGCGGGGTTTGTGGGTTTAGTGGATCCGCCTTGGGGGTTTTCCCTTTGGAGCCCCGACGCCCGCACACGTTCGTTTGGTCCGCACTTTGGGAGTGAGTCGTCTTTTCGGGTTTCGGGATGAGGATTGGGATCTTTTCGGCCGTGTGACTACGCCCTGAAGAGGGCTTCTTCGTAGCCTTCACTGTTGGTTTGATGCTTTGCAGAGAAATCGAATCATGGGATGGCCTCTCCGCAGTCTCCACAGATACCTCCTTGCGAGGTTTTGTGTGAAATGCCTTGTTTGCATTTTTATGAAATTCTTTCTCCTCTTGACGTTCCCGCTTTTCGCCCCGTGAAAGTTGAGTCGCCTTGCGAGCTTCCCGTCGCTTCTCCACCCACTGCTGATGAGCTTCAATACGTGCCTGCTTTTTATTCTCACGCTCTTCTTTACGGCGGGTTTTTCGTTCTTTTTGATATTCAACTTCATCCCTCTGAGGATTGTCGTAGTGATCGAATTTTTTCTTGGCTACCTCACTCCCACCGCGTTGTCTACTTTTGAATTCATTATCGTCTCGGTCAAAACGGTCTCTATACCCGGCGCTATTGTGTTGAAAAAGGACGCCTGTAGAATGAGTCATAGGACTTTTCTTTCCCTCTTAAAATTTTGAGATTTATGCAGTTGTGTTTCGATAAACATAGACAAGAAAATGAAAAAAAAACTGGACAGAGACAATCATAATAAACCTCAGAAAGTTAAAACACAAAAAAAAGTTCATCAGAGAGAAGTTAAACTGTGAGCCATAGACAGTCTTAAGCTCACTAATATAATATTAGAACTATTTAATAATATAATAACTTTTTTTTGCTATCTCACGAGATAATATATTGAATTAAAAAAAATTTATTCGCATCGACGGTGGGCTTATACATTCTTCGTAAGTTCATAAGGGGCGTTCTACTCTCCACTACGAATTCTAGCAACCTATCATTGCGAGGGACAACAATTAGACCTTTTCAGGTAATTTAATATCAGGTGCGGTGGAAATAACAATGCATGCTTTTTTCCTAGCCTAAGGTCGATAACTTTTCAAAGTATATCGGTGATAAATGCATCCAAAACACAATAATATTTATTTAACTAGCATATTCAGATATACCCTTATTGATCATTCTTATATAGAATTTTCGCTTTCTAGAATGATTCTAAATTAAAACAATGACGGAAGTAGTTACATGAATTTTAAAGTTTATGAACCAAGTATGTTTTTTAATTTAAATCAGTCTTCACTCATTATCTAATGCATGGGAAAACATTATAGTTAAGCTATACATGATTTACTCAAATCTTATTACCTGGATAACACAAAGTGTGTGGATTTACTTGGAATGATGCTTATAACACCTTCAGGATCATTATGTCGAAAAATTCACCCATAGTTACAAAGCCAGCACATAATATTGTATTTGATTTTCCAGATATATTTTTTATTCGAACTTCACAGAAGTAACAACAACAACGTGTAATACTACACATGCTTTCTTTAAATGAGTATTTCAAAAAGGTTTATATATCAGTAGTTTCAGACACTTAAATAAGCTTTCGTCTGATTAGCATAGAGAAATATTTGATCCCCTTGTTATGTAACAAAAGGGTAGAAGGAAGAAAAAAATCACAATTCAGTTCATATTCTTATAAGTTAACCTTTAAATAAATATAGCGATTCATTATTTAGCACATTTATCCGCATTGATTCAAACACCTTTCGCCTTAGTATGAATTCACATCGTTTATCTTCTCCCCGCATTTGACTACAACAATAACATCTGCATGGGAGGTTGATTCACCATGAGTTATGAGAAAAGAGCTTTTCTTTGATTTCTCTTCTTCATACACCCTCAGACATCCATAAGCATTCCCTGTAATTGCTTTCCTCTGTGAAAGATCGCTTGTGTTGAACTACCGTTTATACACACTCACATATAAGTGCTTAAAAAAGAAAAACTAAAATTGAAAATCGGTGTTTCTTTGTATCGGCTGATCAAACCTCATATCTGACATCGGCACCCCATCCCCATTTGTTTCATCCACAACTGAGAAGAAGCTCTCCAAAATATTAAAAACGAGGTTGTAGACATCCTTGTTCGTATGCTTCTGAAGATCCTCTAAATGGTCGATTCCACCGCAATCGATAATTTGTTTCACCACCATATTCTCCTTATGAAAACCAGATGCCCGTTCATCCTCACCCATCTGCAAAAAGCTCTGCAGGGCCTCCAGGATGACAATGACAATTTGCGAGTCGTACGCGCGGAGGGCCTCACAGAGCGGCGGAATCACGCCGATCTGCACCAAATACCGAATATGCTCCACAGTTCCGCAGTAGGTCACGTTGGCTACGCACCACGCAGCCTCCTTTCGCACATCCAACTCCATCGCCTGCAAACAGTTCAACAACGGATAAAAGATATTCGCCGAAACGAGCGCCTCAATCTGGTGCGTAGGGCCGGAGGCGATGTTTGAGATCGTCCAGCAGGTCTCCTTCCGAATCGCTCGTTTCGGGTTCGAAAGCAGCTCGGCAATCGACGGCAGGGCTCCCGCGTTGATAATCATCTGGGTCTGCTCATCCGTCCCTGCGGCGATGTTACCGATTGTGCGGATTGCCGGTGTCTTGAGGTTATTGGAGGGCGACCGCAGAAGCTCGACTATTCGCGGGAGCACCCCAGCCTCAAGTACTGGTTGTACACGCTCTGCTTGTCCATCGCTGATATAAGATACCCCCCACGCGGCATCCATCACAAGTTGATCGTCCTGATGATTTAACAAATTAGCAAAGGCGGGGAGTGCAATGGCCACCTTCTCAAGATCGGGAGCGGGCTTACAGCGGCAGAGGTTCGACGCGGCCCAGGTTACGTTCCGCAGGACATTCAGCGGCTGCGAAGGGTCCAGTAAAAGCCGCAGCAGTGCCGGCATCGCGCCGTTGGCGAGGGCCACATCCCGGCACGAGGCCCCTTCCCCAGCAAGGTTTCCAATCGCCCATGCCGACTGATCACGGCAATCTGCATCCTGAGAGCCCAGCAGATTCACGAACTTCGGCACCGCATTGCAGTGGATCAACATCATCGTGTTCTCGGAGGTTCCCGCAGCAATGTTAGTAAGTGCCCATGCGGCCTCGAACTGCAGCTTCGGGAAGTCGTTGTGGTCGAGCAGCTCCACAAGCTTCGGCACCACACCCGTGCTGATCACCGCCTCGTACGGAGGGTCACGCTCCACCGAGAGGATCTTTCGAATCATCAGGGTCCCATGGAAGACCTGCTCCGGAGTTGTCCCTGCCACCACGAGCTGGACAAATTGTGGGAGCAAATTAAGCGGGATCATCGCGGGTTTCGTCTCCGCATTAAACATCCAAACCAATTCGTTCGGGTCCGCCCCTGCCGCGAGCGCAGAAGTCACCCTCGAGGCGTTTCCGCTGATCTCCGGTTGAAGGGAAATGTTCTCGTCCTCGTGGTCGGCGCGGAGGTGCTTTAAGACCTCGCCGTGAGCCTTATGGCGGAGGGTCATCAGCTGTCGCTGACGGCGCTCCGCACCGGCGCGGGAGTTGAGCGACTGCTTTGCCCCCCGTTTCTCCTTATCCCCACTCTCTTGACCGCTAAACATGCTTCCCTTTTATAAGTTCTGGGGTTAACCGTTTCACGTTCTGTCTATGTAGTGTGACGCACAAATACGTTTAGATGTAACAGAAAAATGAAGGTCGTTTGAGGGTAAGCGAACCGGTGCGATTGCTACTGGGGGGTTGGTTTACGTCTGTACGGAACGATCGCCACGTTCGATATGGAAAGTGTGACTTGCGTGAAACAACAACTCGTGCAACAAAACACACACACACACCTGAAGTGCACACGAGTTGTTTAATAGAACTTCCGAAAGGATAATGATATTATGGAAGAATAAAATGCTAGAGTGCAACGGTTACACTGTGGTTCTTTTTCTAACTTCCCTATTGTGATTACAACCAGTACAAACCTGTATTGTGTTAAAATTAAGCTTGAAAGAGCAGTAGTGAATTTATACTATCTATGGATTGGATAATAAATAAAGTCAAGGAGTAATAGAGTGGTGGGAAGGGAATCGTGCAAGTAAAAAAGGATAAGCAAGTGCATGGGATTAGCTACGAAAATTGAAAACTAGAACTGACTAGTCGAATTGGATCATTCAGTTGGTGATTTTTGTTTTTACCCTGTGGGAAGGGTAGGTTACAAAAGGAATAAAATAGCGGGCCCCATCACACGAAGACACCGCACCACACCACATACGCAAAGAACAGGAATCCCCTCGTGAGATGCCTCGAATGGAGAAAGGGCAAGCATCATTATCCACCGTCAGTAAATTTAGAATTCACACGCCTGTTTTTCATCAGAGTTAAAGGGTTCATTTAGACTACGATTGGGTAATTCTCATGACAACCAATGGGTTCAAGAATTAAAGCTCATCGAAGTGTGTCGTCATGTGAAAAGGGCGGTGATATTTAGTGCACACTCAGAGCAAGTAGCTCAAATTATTAAACAATACGAAGGGAAAGAAAGAAAGGGAAAGGTAACGGAGTGATTCGAAAACAATGATGAAAAAGTCACATACACACCATACGCAAACGCAAAAGTGCGGTATATCGCAACCTTGCACGCTGAACCCATACCATACTTGGGCTGCCTTCTCTTGCGCAGTCAGTGAACCCTCCACTCCTTAATTTTGAAAGATAGGGCTGTTTGGAAGCGCGTGATCGATTTATAGGGGCTACGGTTTTCACCTTGTTTCCATCCACATTGATGAAATGCACATTGCGTCAGCGTCCCTTTGCTTTTCTAGGATAAACATACAGAGGATACACATATCGGGGCGTTATTGGGAAAATAAACAATCCTGTGTATTGCCTTGGACATAAAATACAGTATATTACCGATTCAGGTGCCGAGAAGGTAACAAAGAGTTTCAACACCCCTCTTTGTGCCCCAGACACAGATTACAGGAAGTTTATCAAGAAACATCCTCCGATACCCAGGGAGTTGGAAATGTTCGGAGCTAATATATTTAAGTGCTTAAAAGACTAGCTTTAATGATACGGGTACGAACAAAATAAAGACCACATCTCTGTTCCTGAGGTAAAATAGGAAAACTATCCACAAACTACTCGTTGCAAAGCCGTAACTATACATTGGACGTACAGAGGGCCCCTGCGAGGTTTATGCGGAGTCCTTCCCACATTCTCCTTGTTTTGGCTACCAATCTATAGCCAAACATTGTAGTTCGGCAGTTAGTATGCTACTCAATCCCATGCAATAGGTACGGCAACCACCACCATAAGAATGACAGGTACAGGAATCAAATCAGAAAAAAAAAGTCATCATGAGTAATTCAGTAATGAATCCTTTCCTTTCACAACTCTTCAAAGAATATTCAAGGATTGTGTTGTTGTTGCTACACATGTTCTCTGCGTACATGTAAAGAAACGAGCATTAAAAAGCATAGTAAGAGAGAGACTTCATCATAAGGGGGTGTATAAAATAAAGGAGACAAGCCCAGAAAAGGGAAAGAATGAATGAGCGATAGAAAAAGGAAAAAGCATTTCAAGGACCGGCTTCCGAAAATGGATTTATCGACACCCAATGACAAGACATGGGTACCGATGATTTTTCTATCCATTAGAACGACACTTAGCGTAGGTTAGTCATGGATGCAAACGTGAACATCTATCAGCGTACAATGCCTGAATCAAAACGAAAAAGGATTGTACCCTAGCATAGAAGTATTAGCATTGGAATTGTTAAAGACAATAAACGAGAAGAATATAATTAAAATTGTAATAATTGAGTACACTCACCCTGGGTCAGAAAAGTTGTCTGCCGTGCGACATTCGCATATACAAGAGTGAAACCAACAACAAAGCTGAACGATTATCCGAAAGACCCATTGTCTACCCATAACTAAAAATGATTAGAAGGACAGCGGAAAATCAAACGCAAAAGGCTGTATA